CATTTCTTAAATGTCGTCTTCATCAATCAATCAATCATAGACGATTCTGAATGTCGTCTTCATCCCGACCAACAATTCCAACCAATCAGAACGCTCCATTCAGGTCACGTGATCACAAAATATCATCTAATAGGAGCATTCTGATTGGTCGCCAACATTGTCCTCAAACTAAGCAGAATTCACTACTTACCTGCTTTCGGATTGTTTTTACATTGGCATTTTTAAGGATATATACTTGATATAACGCAATATTTATTAATAATTATTTTGACTCAAACTCTTATCTTAAGGAATTTAGAAAAAAATATGCGTGAAAAAGAAAGTTTTGTATGAATTTAATTTTTTTGTTAGGTTTATAGGACTATTTAGAAAATATGAGAAAAAATTATTTGTGATACCAATAGCTAATTATGTCAATATTATTCACCAAAACCACACTGCAGTCCTTCAATTATCATACAGGGAAATTTTCATCTTTCTTAATATCCCAGGGAAAGATTTGACACTTTCTTATTCAGTAACTAATTTCATACCTTATAAACAAATTATTAACAATTTGAAATCTTATTTAGGTAAATTGTATCTTAATGCTCTAATCAAGTTCGGAGGAATCAATAAAATCATCGATGATTATGGATCAAATAGAGATAGAATAATAAAATTCACACACAGTCATCTGTCAGCCGCCTGCAGGGAGAAAAATATGGATTTATGCAAGGAAATCATTGCGTTTTTGAGCGAAGGAACTACATCTACCCAAAAACCTGATATTGATGAACTTGATCACATCATTCACTATACTGTAGAGAATCACCATATATTCAGCAAGACAGCACTGAACTATGCAAATCAGAATAATGATAGAATCTTAGGACTTGAGTTATTACAGCTAGAGAAGCAGGTTCACCAGGACAAAAACAAAGGTCTTTCCTGTATAAAGGAGACCCTAGATAGTGGTCCCCTTCTTTCCTGGATAATACAAACCTACAAAGATTTTTTTCCTGATAAAGACAAATTGAAGACCATTGGTATTGCTGTCTGGACGTTTATAAAGGTGGGGCTCCTTTCTTTTCTTCCTCTTCTTTTTGATCTCATCTCGGACATTAATCTTGCCTCTGACTATGCAAGGTTTGGTTTCAGTAATGAAACTGTTGCCAATGAAGAGATTATCTGGAATTGTACTTCCTCTGTAAGTTCTTCAGCTCTGGATTCTTCATGCTTTAAGAATAACTCCTATCTCAAGATTGACGAACTTTATACATCTGCTTATTGGACAACTTGGACAATTTTATCAGTTACACTACTTCTCCATTTGGCTATAATAATATGGTATAATGAAGATGATGTATCCTTTCTTAAACATTTCATAAGAGTGGAAAACAAATACGCTGCACGGGTAATCCGATTTGTAATGGTTTTTTTTGGAAAACTCTTATGGCCATTTCGACACATTTATTTTGAGGTGAAATACAATTNCTATTAGACTTTTTGAGATTAATCTGTTTTCTATTTTAAGTGTTGTAGGTGTTCCCTTAAATCTAGAATGAACGAATTTTACCTGCGCATTGTGCATTGTTATATGACTAGAGACAGGCATAAAATCAACTTGAACTTAAATCCAATTTGAATTTAACCACTAAAATCTTCTTGGCATTTTTCTTAATCAAGTTGAGAATTTTATTGTTTTAATTTTTAGATTCTCCACTACAAATTTGCACATCAGTGGTCAGATTTAAATGGTGTCACTGGAATAAGCAGAGTAAAAGGATGGTTCATATGCAGTTCTAACTCTAGCAAAGATAAAAGCGCAGATATGGAAGGAAAAAGAGAGAAAGAAAACAGAAACCAAAATGAAAAGTATGAGACTCTCCCATTGCTTAATTTAGAGAGCAACACATCGACTCAAGCTACAGGTCTAGAAGATGTGGATAAATATGACTTGGAACCTGTTATTATCACAGACTGATCATTATAAACCTGAACAGGTTTTATCTTGGTTCATAACTGCTTGAATAAATATGACTTGGAACCTGTTATTATCACAGACTAATCATTATAAACCTGAACAGGTTCTATCTTGGTTCATAGCTGCTTGAATAAATATGACTTGGAACCTGTTATTATCAGTTGGTTCATTGGTTAAGTTGGTTCATTGGTTAAGTTGGTTCATTGGTTAAGTTGGTTCATTGGTTAGCTCCTCAACCCGAACATAGTAGTCTCCAATAATCATTTGATAGATTTATTTCAAACCTATGATAAATTTTAGGTTTTAAATATGAATACAAAATGATTTAATATGGTTAAAACGTTAGATTAAATAGCTTACTAGCTTTTTATATCAAACATGGATGATGATATTCTAATGTAGTTAAATCTTTAATAAAATAGCTTATTAATATTTCGTGTCGGAGTGAAAAGAAGTGGTTAAGGGTTTGGTGGTGTAGTTTAAAACATTTATAACACTTCTGAAAAACATATATTGCTTAAAGGTTGAATTTACTATGGATTGCAAAGTTATTTGTGGATTCTTACACATGGTAAAACGTTTCACTGTTTTGATTTTCCTTTGCCACTTTATTTTCACTATATCTCCCCTTTATTCTACAATTTTCATAGTTCTAGCCTTTGTAAGACATCTTACATATTTCTACCCTTCATTCTGTAACCTTTAATGTTTTTGTCATCATTATACATTATTTTACATCCTTCATCATAGGTCTTTCATTCTACATACTTCTTAATTGTAGTCTTAATTCTGTATTCTCCATAGTTCTACCCTTCATTTTACATCCTTCATAGTTTTACCCTTCATAGAGTAGGCGTAAGTGTTTGGTTTGGACTCTGCTTGTAAAGACGACATTTCTTGGAAAATGTTGTGAGGTTTATGGTCCACACATAGACATATATTAGTATTTAGATTATCGGAATTCAATGAAAATCGGTGCAAATCAAAAAACTAAATTTTATTCAGGAATAATTTTTCTTTAGAAAAATAATATTAAACCCTATTTAATGAAAAGCGTAAATACGGAATTAAATGGAAGCAGTTAATTCAAATGAAAACCGTAAAGAACAGAATTGAATAGAAGCTGTTAATTGAAATATTCTTTGTTGGCAAATTTAATGTTCTATGAATTTGATTCGAATAGAATAAAGTTAAATATACTAGAATATTCTGAGCTGAAAACTCTTGTATTGTGAATATCAAGATCAAACCTTGATCAACTCTTAGTTCAACCATGCAGAGTGTCGTTTGCAGAAACCCAACAGTCAATTAGAATCCGCAAACTTTGCGCGTAAAAAATGAGAAAACTCTTATTGATCAAAACCCAGCAGGGTTATCCAGAAGAGAAGATTTACCAGAAAATCAATAATGTCCACAGTGGATATCGAGACTAAGTAAACGGAATGAAGTGTATCCAACACAAGAGTTTCCAGTTCTAATCCTCCATATTGTGTGCTGAGTCTTATTCTAATTCAATCCCTCAAACTTGCAAATTCCAACCAGGAAAATCCGCCAAATTAAATATTTAAATGTTTTTATAAACTCAACTCTGTAGAAAATTAAATCCGAAAGCTCCAGTTTAGAATTATAGTTTCAATGACAGCTAAGACCAGAGTCCTATTTTCCCAATTTTTTATCACAGGCTCAGGGCAACGCCGGGCACTCCAACTAGTGTTAAATAAAAGAAACATGAACTATGTATACTGTGCTCCTCCATCTTGTTTTTGTACAGGTGTTCACAGCGTGCTGCGTGTATCTCGCTCTCGTGGGAATATTTGGTTTGGCACTAAACATTTTCCTTGTAATACTTTTCAAGACAGATAAAAAGGTGAAAACTCTCAGGACTTGGAATTTTGAGCAAGCACAAAAAAATATTTTCGTTTTTCTTGCTTGAAAATTGCTTCTTAAATGGGTTTCCAAGCAAACGAAAATGTTCGCGAAAAAATGCGAAAATTTACATTCATATTTCGCAAACCTTTTCGGGAAATTTAAAATCACAATATTAGTTTACTGTTCCTGTAAAAACACAGTTTTAGTTTACTATCCCTTTAAAAACACAATTTTAGTTTACTGTCCCTTTAAAATCACAATTTTAGTTTACTGTCGTGAAACCTAAAGGGAGTGTTCGTGAAAATTAAAGACGAGTGAAAAGTTGCCAATTTTGAAATAATAATTTTTTTTAATTTTGCAGTTGCAGACAGATTTCTACAAACTAGTTCTTAGCCTTCTGATCTCAGATATATTCATCATCTGTATGGGTGTCCCAGTAGACTTCTACAGTTCTTATAGGTAGATACAAGGTGTCCCAGTAGACTTCTACAGTTCTTATAGGTAGATACAAGGTGTACTATTAGACTTCTACAGTTCTTATAGGTAGATACAAGGTGTCCCAGTAGACTTCTACAGTTCTTATAAGTAGAAACAAGGTGTCCCAGTAGACTTCTACAGTTCTTATAGGTAGATACAAGGTGTCCCAGTAGACTTCTACACTTCTTATAGGAAGAAACAAGGTGTCCCAGTAGACTTCTACACTTCTTATAGGTAGAAACAAGGTGTCCCAGTAGACTTCTACAGTTTTTATAGGTAGATACAAGGTGTCCCAGTAGACTTCTACAGTTCTTATAGGTAGATACAAGGTGTCCCAGTAGACTACTACAGTTCTTATAGGTAGAAACAAGGTGTCCCAGTAGACTTCTACACTTCTTATATATAGTTAATTGCGGTCGCGTACTCTGCGTACATATTGAAACCAGTTCAGTGAAAATGGATTCCATGTCAGACTGTGACATCCGTCTTGTGTTTACTTTTCCGCCCAAAGACAGTACACTTCAGCACAAAAAATGCGTACACCTCTGTAATAACTTTCCTTACATTATAACCTTGTTCTAATCTCTGTTTTGTGTTTTATAAGTTTTAAGATTTTAAAGTTTTTAAAATTATATATTTATTAGAGAGGGCTGGGCACTTGGAGAGGTATGGTGCACTGTTTTTGGATTCCTAATCACAACAGCAGGTATTATTAAATCAACTGTGACCCTCTGTGCAAAGGTTCAGTTGGTTCCCTTGAAACTTTTAACTGATTGAGAATGTGGAAGATATTGTCGTTTTTCTAGGCTTAAAAGTACTTTATTCAGCTAAATCCTGCATTAGATATTTCCAAGTCACTTTTGTAGAGAATTAAAAAATGAAGATAATTAGTTTTAAAAAGTATTAACATCGATATCTAAATCATACCTTATCAGACAAAGCTTTAAAGGGAACCGTTGGAATGGATGGTCAGTTAAAAATGCGCTGACAGTTCCACATAAATTAATGACTTTTGCTGTGACTCTTGGGATCAAGCCTTGATCTTCATGTTCCGCGGTTTTCATTCCCTGCAGAGATGACTTCAGATGAGAGATCAAAAGATTAATTATAGAATAAGAGCTGTTGTTTGTACGCTGGGTTAACCGTAAGCGTCTGGGTGTCTGGGGTGGGGGTATCTGTGCCCCCCCTGTTTGGTTGGGGAGTATACGGAGAAGAAACTAACAGGTTTATTTTTTTCAAAATTAATATAAATTATTATTAAAAATTGGTTGTCAACAGCGCCTTTTTCGCACCGCCGCGCCTGGTGCTTACATTATTCCTCAATTTGTCGAATTCTCAATTTTTTAGTTTATGGAAAACAAAGTTTGATAATGATTCATGTACGGGTTTACAGAGTGTACTAAAAGTTGCTCTGACTGGGAAATAAAGGGTGTCCCAATAAACAAGGGAATTGGGACACCCTGTATAAGAGAGTGTACGTCGAACAAAACTATCGAGTTTTTAAACGTAACTAAAACTTTAATTTTACAAAACAGAAAACAAAAAGAGAATACACGTAAAGAAATCACATTGAATAATATTCCCTAACTAAAATATTCGTATCTACAAAACTGCCTGACCCCATTCATGAAACCGGGTTTTCGATACTGGGTTTCATTACGATACTCTTAAGTTTCTGGCACAAAGGTTGGACTTTGACTTCAAATGAGTTTCTTGTAAAACTTTTATCCTATTCGTTAAACAATTTCTAAACTGTGATTTGCTGCGATTTCCCATGCTCAAAGCTATAAAAATGTTTAAAGAATCCGACAATTGTGTGAATGTAGGATGAACTGTGCTCCAGTCTGGGGTGGAGAAGTGTCAAGACAATACAATATCTTTCTCTTTGTTGTCGGATTCATCCTTCCCCTCATCCTCATCCTAGCTTCATCGGCATCTATGCTCAGATCTATGAAAACGGTAGGATCGTTAATAAATCAATTATTGTTCGTTTAAAATGTTTTTTTTTCACTTCAAAGTTTCTCTAAAATATCTAAAATAATCTGATCTGTGTCGTACAACAAAATACGATTTTCTATAAGTTTGCTATTATTCCATTTAAAGGGCTGTAAGCGTTATTACGAGTGACCCTCCATGCAAAGATGGCAATGCTCGATTTTTAGAATGTTGTTAGATTAAGTATGAATTAGAGATATCTATGTTTTTGTTGATTTTTAAGGCCAGCTCATTAGAAAAAAAATTGGACCTTTAACTCTAGTTGATCTGGTGCTTTAGTAGGTTTGAACAAAATGTTTTAAAAAATATTTTATTCTTAACAAATATTAAGACATTACACATGTGTTTTAGATACAGGGTGTCCCAAAAAACAAGGGAATTCAGTGACGAATTCGATATCGTCTTTTCAAATAATTCTTTGATTTAGTATAGTGAGAAAGATGTAATCTGTAAGAGTTTCGTCTGCTATGTTTACATTTTGTTTGTTTATGTTTTGACTGCAACCGGATTACTTTTGAAATTATGTATTACAATGCTAATTCATAACAAAGACGATATCGAATTCGTCACTGGATTCCCATGTTTTTTGGACACCCTGTATATATAGCTGAAAAAAAGTTATTTAAACACTGACCGGCCTCTTTACCAACCTATACCATTTCCTTTGCATTAAAAAAAATAGTTTGCTAAGAATTTAAATTACTATTCCTTAAAAGTCAAAACATTTCAGCAAGGTGATAGTGTTAAAATTAAAGTGCTATAGGGCAAATTGAAGGTTCTATTTCTAGGGTGTTAAACCTACACATACAACAATATCTTGCTAATTATCATTTAGATAAAGGTTTTCAAGGATACCGTTATGAATCACACAGGTCATAGGGGATTTACAATTACATGTAATAAATACCTTACCAAATCCCATAGTCATACATTTTAATATACCTAGATAAATTAGGTTGTACATTGTCTGTAAATCTAAATGAGCTTATAATTAACTATGCAAAACTTGTATTGTGATTAATCCAACCTAGCTACGTCTGTAAATAACAACGTCAAATCTGTATTGCTATTAGCTTTACTACGGCTATACATATCTGCACAAATCTTCTAATTACTTGCATTAACTTAACCTGTAGCATAGATATCTAAATACACGTCAGTTGGAATCATACTCTGCTTTGATTATGATAATTACTTCTTGGTTAGCAAAAAAGAAGCGTCTTGAATCACTCTCTTGAAAGAAATAGATTGGAAATGGATACAGATAAAGGGACGCTAAGAGTCCCTTCAATGTTATTATTCTAGATGATACCTGTAGAAATGACTGTTCTTCCCCTGCAGCTGGCAAAATCTGCTCCAGTCTGGAATCCGCTCATTTTCATCTTTACAAGCAGAGAGGTAAATTTTAAAGGCACTGCATTAAGCCCGGTTCGTTATTTGAGTCGTTTTTTGCCGATATTTTAAAAAAAATTTCATAACGAACCAAAAAAAACAATCCAAAAACGATACATAAACTAACGTGTTTTAACAAACGTTTCCCCTTTTCGTTGAGGGGTTGGGGGGGTTGAGTTGGGTAGGGCGGCCGTGTAAAAATTGTTCAGGAGTGCACTTTTTCTTTTGAACAGATATATATGAAACTAAGAAAAATTCAATACTTTTTTTTATTTTTACCATTTTTTTGTGGTGCCGCCGGTATTAAGCGTGATTTTTTTTGCCATTTTTGAACTTCATTGATTTTATTTCTTAAAACTTTTATAAAATCCAAAGTTTTTGACTTGGAATAATATTTTATATTATTTTGTAAATTCCAGATAATGGTGTAAAAGATAAAATCAACTAGTACTGAATATTTTGTAAATTCATAGTTTTATCGCCAAAACCATTGATTTTATTAATGCGCACTTACTATTTAACATATCCTTAGAAGTGAAAAAAAATTTAGATTTTTTGAAAATTGTAACTCTTATAATTTAATGACGTGTTTGGACATTTTAAGCTTTATAGGACAAAATGTTGAAATTTTTTTTATTTTTAAGCAAATTTAGTCCAAAATCATCGTTTTTTTTACTCTATCATTTTTAAAACACTCGATCGCTGACAAATATTTGAAACATTTTTCTAGTTTGTTTTTACTTTCTTTTTGATACATTCTATGCTTAATTATTCAGACAACTTAAGAAATGACTGATCTATAAATATTTTGAAGTGATTTTCTTCCAATTCAATAATTTGTTTTCAAATCGTTGTAGAATCGTCAATTTTCAACTTAAAGTCAAATTTGGACACATTTTGAACAGCTTTAATATCAAGCTATAAGTAAAAAATTAAAAATGGAACAAAAATTTATATTACATTATTTGCATCTAATAGAATTGCACGTTTTTCTCAATTCTCATGCAAAAATGTTTAATTTACACAATAAAACAGACAAAACTTTTAATTTTGAAAATTCTTTTAGCAAATCACTGTAAAAATACTGTGCAATATGTGTTCGACCATTAAAACACAAGTCAACAGAACTACTTGAATTTCAAAATTTAAAGTTTTGTCTGTTTTATTGTGTTTTAAAAAATGATTGAGATCCTTGTTTTATTTTAAAAAGGAACAGAAATGATCTATTTGAATGTCGCGCAAATCTGCCCCTTTAGTAAAAGTAAATTCAGCCTATAGGAAGAATAATGTCTGACCGCGTCAACCTTGTTTCACCGGCTAGTCCTGTTCATAGAGCTAGGTACACTACAAACTGGGACCGGAAAGGTTGACCCGGCTCGGAAATTCAAATGTACTACAGAAAATTACGCCGCGTTACAGTCTCCTTAACATTTCTAGATCTTTTGTAACTTTCAGAAATAGTTTTCTCAATATTACAGAGTTATTCTCAATATTACAGAGTTATTCTCAATATTACAGAGTTATTCTCAATATTACAGAGTTATTCTCAATATTACAGAGTTATTCTCGTGTACCCAGCCTGGCAAATTTTGGGGTTTAATAGATAGGCTCTTCTTGTTATTATTATTGTACCTTCTCAGAATTATAATTTGTGTGGTAGATTTCATGCATTTAGTATTTGTTTGTGGCAGAATTTCTGAACTTGAATTGCACAACAAACAAAATCTGATTTTCTAAAACCTATATATTTTCCAACTGATGGTGTAAACCTTTGATATTTCAAACTTAGCTTCTTATATCTTACAGAATTCATAGTTTGATTTATCCAAGGTCTACGGCATTGGGTTGAAAAGATATAGAGATTAGAAAATCATTGTTTGTGACAAAGACTCAATTCCTTTGCTCTGGAAGAAACCCTGTTGCCAATTACATCACAGTACGTCAGTCTGAGCGATTTGCAATTACTTTTTTAATCGTTCGTTGTTCGTTAATTTTAGAACGAGGGCCTTCAGTCGGATCGTTCATTCCTTGTTCGCTCTTTTTCAAATTGTTCCTTCCCCGTTCTGTTCTTTGCGTTCTTGATCGAGAACGCTAAAGAACGTTAACGATTTTGTTCGTTCCTCGTACTTGAACAACGGTCTTCGACAAAAATATATCAATTCATTTTTAATTACTTAAAATAAAGATATAAAATTTACATATTACAAAAGCACTTGAAAAATGGATGTAATATCATGTGATGATGTGTCACGTCACCACGTGTTAATATTTTTTTTTAAATGAAAATAAATATTTGTAAAAATTTTCCGGCGAA